CCTACAATACGTTCTTCCGCCCTCCCTCCCTCCCTCCCTCCCTCCCTCCCTCTTTTCCTCCTTCCCTCCCAACTGTCTGTCAGTCATCTTTATTTCTTTTTGTTTGAGACAGTATTTTACTATGTAGTTCATGCTGGCCTTGAACTCAGTAGTGTAGTCCAGCGGGCCTCAGGCCTCCTATCCTCAGCCTCTACCTCCTGAGCACTGGGCTTTGCCCCCATGCTTGGCTCTGACCTCTTTTTTTGTTGTGTCCTATACATTGTATGTGGTTGTTAAGTCTCTGTGTTTCCTTATTTTCCTTCTGGAAGACTGAGTTTTATTTTGGCATTCAGTTAATTTACTTATGGGTTATCTTGAATTAAGCTTTGTTAGAATAAATTTGGGACTATTGTTTTCTAAGTTATAATTGTCCTGTTAGGAAGTTAGCTTTCTTCTACCGAGTTGAGTGTTATGTTAGTAAGAACTCTCCTCCTGCTTGGTCAGAACTTTAAACTCCTGGCACTGTGTGACCTCTAGCATGAAGCATTTTGACATTTAGTTGATTTTTGGTTTTTTTTGTTTTTTTGTTTTTTGTCATGCCACAGAAAGTCTAGTGGTGTAGTAAAGCTTACTGCCCATCCTAGGACTCGGGATGCTTACTGAACTTTCTAGAACTTTCTGAACTTTCTAGAACTTTCTCTTCCATGGCGTTTTGCTGTAGGTCCCATTTGCCTTCTCAGCCCTGTAGTCTGGTCCCCTTCCTTCATCTCAGTGGGCTTGCTGTGCCATGACCAGTGTCTGCCTGTCTGTGTGGGGGCCCTGCTGAGACCCCATAGTGCTTTCCCTGCCCTGCAGGGTCGCTCCTGTGCTGCTGCCTCCAGCTCCCCACACAGTGCTTATTTTGTTTATGCTGCAGATTTTTATGGTGAGAAGGCTAGCCAGGTACTAGCTTTGCTACATCTGGACAGGGAGGTCAGTACCATTTAACTTTAAAATTCTATGTGTGGCAGTTAAAAGCTATATTTTATTAAAAAATTAGAAAAAAGTAAAATTCATAACATTCTTATTAGAATCAGTATTTATGTAAGTCTTGATTTTACTTGAATAATAATAAATATAGACATTAGTTAAATTATATTGTAAATTTTCCAACTATTTTATATGTCAAAATTTGAAAATAAAAATTTAACTGAACTGAGTCAGTGCTGTGATACCTATGTCATTGGTTGGTTGGGGTTTTTAAATTTCTTTTGTAAGTCATAAAAATAAAGCTTAACTTTATGCCATTTTTTTCTTTCAAATACGTTAGTGAAAATTGTGATTTTTGTTTCTTAGGAGTATATATCAGACTAGGAAAATGGGTTGTATTTTGGTTTTAACAAGTGCCTTACCTAAAAACAGTCTCTAACTGGATCATTCATTGTTTCAGAACGCAGAGGCTTGGAACAATTTATCCACTTCTTATATTCGATTAAAACAAAAGTAAGTACACAACTCCCATATGAAGAACTTGGTTTCCCCTAAAATTAATAAGATTTCCTCCAACTGAATATTTAAAATCTGTGTCTAGATCTTTGTTTCTCTTTTTTCCTGTGCTTGTGTGCAAGTTACAATAACTTAGTGAACCTTTGAATTCTAATTGTATAGTTATTTCTTGAAAACATTTAATGTATAATAAGTATGCATTATGCATAATAAGGAAATATCTTTTAAAATTGTTCTTTACCACCAATTTTTCAGCCTAAATTTCATTCCATGATAAAACCAAACAGACCTATAGTTGGTCAACTCAATTGGTAGTTTTCTTATTAATTGCTTGTCTTAACATTTTTATAAAATATAAACATAACCCTATTCTTCTGCAGATGTAGATTTAAGAAATAAATTAGTCTGCAGTATTATTTTAAAAGCTGATTAGTGACACAAGCCGTACGTGGTGATCATCAAGTGTGAGTGCGAGGGAGCTATGGAGTAGGTGCCCTGCTTGCCCGCTGTGGTCAGGAACGTATGCAGTCCTGGGAGGCGCCCAGAGGAGAAGGCCTGGGAGTCTGACTCACAGATCCTTGTCTTGTGCTGAAGCTAGATTTGAAGGACACATGGAAAGGATAGAGGACACCTTTTCAGCAAAGAAAGCCATGTGACCAAGTGTAGAGTGGCATAATGGAGCGAATTATTTTAGGAGGTGGAAGGAAAGTAGTCCAGCTGTAGGGTAATGTAAGATCGCTAGTGAAGGAGGAGGATGGAAAAGGGGTCACACTCAACTCACTGTCTTCTAACCCTGACGAGCATGTTGAGACTATCCTGTTGGGAATAGCCTGAGATTTTGGTGGGAAACCAACAGAGAGAAACTTTGGGGACTGTGTATCAGGAGGCAATGTTTGAGACAGTAGAGAGGGACCTGGGAACTGGGAGAGCTGAGGTAACTAGAGTGGATGAAGAAAGGGCAGGTGCCGAACACAACAACCCAATTGCTGTTTTCTGGCTCTGAAAAGTGGAGGAGACAGGAGAGACAGAGTTGCTACTGCCAGAGCTTTAGTGGAGCAGTGAAAGGGGATTTTCCATTTTTACTTCAGCCTTATTTTTAGACTTGGTATCTGTTGTGGAATCACAAGATATTTCTAAGATATCAAGATGATTTTACATTGAAATCATGAAATGATTCCTTTGTTTTTGACTAGCAGTTTGTATAACTAGAGATCAGTTTGTTCTTTCAATCTCTTAAAAATAATACTGTGTTCTTGATTGAAATGGGCTACATTAATGCTTACTGGATACCTGTTGCTCTAGGGCAATGGGTATCTTGGGTGTAATAGGATGTTATTAGTTTTTTTCTAAGAGCCTAGATAATCTTACATGTAGAGGCTCTTTTTTTTTAAAAAAGATTCATTTATTTTTATTCTGTATGTATGAGTCTTTGTTTATATGTATGTATGTGTACCATCTGCATGCCTGGTACCCAAAAGGCCAGAAGAGTGTATTGGAATCCCTGGAACTGGAGTTCTACCCTGTGGATGCTGGGAAAGAGAACCCAGGTCCTCTTCAAAAGCAGCAAGTGTTCTTAACTGCTGAGTCTTTTCTCCAGCCCAGACCATGAGTCTCTTCATACTCCATGTCTTTTATCATTCTTTGTAGACAGTTCTCCAATATTTAGACAGTTCTTAAGTGTTGTTTGACTTCTTAGTATTTTTATTCTGTTGTCCTGCGAATAGATTTTGTATAAAAGTAGGGATGCAAGACCCAATGGTGTGGGAAGTCCTTCTGTCTATGTGTTGCTTTTACTGGTTAATGAATAAAGCTGTTTCAGCCAGTGGCTTAGCAAAATAGGGCAAAGCAGGAGTTCCAAGGAGACAGAGGATAGAGAGAGTAGGCAGAATCAGAGAGAAGCCATGTAGCTGCCTGCAGGAAACAGATGCCTCTCTGGGAGCCCACCGGAACCTTGCCGGTAAGCCACAGCCACGTGGCAATACACAGATTAATAGAAATGGGCTAAAGATAAAAGAGTTAGCCAGAAATATGCTTAAGCTATTGAATAAACAGTATTACAATTAATACAAATTTCTATGTGATTATTTCGTGAGTCTGGGCATCTGGGAAACGAACAAGCAGTATCCCCCCACAACCCAAGGTTCATCATCCCCTCATTCTTGCCCGAATTGTCTTCTTTCATTTCTTTGCTCTCACTCTAGAACAGTGGGTTTCAGCCTTCCTAATGCTGTGACCTTTTACAGTTCCTTATGCTGTGCCGATCCCCACCCATAAGGTTGCTACTGTTACGAATTGAAATATAAATATCTGTGTTTTCTGATGGTTTTAGGTGATCCCTGTGAAAGGGGCATTCAACCCCAAAGGGGTTATGTCCCATAGGTTGAAAACCACTGCTCTCGACATAATATTTAATTCATGAAATTATTTGTTCCCCTCAAAACAATATTTATGCTCTAAAATGACCTCATCTATTCTGTTGTGACCTTTTCACTTTTTTTCCATCTGATTTCCCTAGGTATCCGGGCCTTTGGGACCATTTCCCATTTTGTGTATAACTTAATAGTACAGCATCTTCAACATAGTGTGCTGGATAAGTGACTCCCAGGATGAAGCTTCTTATAGAAAAGCTATACTTACCAGGAAAGAAACCCAAACAGTGCATTCTGTGTTTTGTGTGTGTACACATGCATGTAGAGGATGAATGACAGCTTTGGGTGTTATCTTCAGAAACAGCCGCCTACTTTTGAAACAGAGTCCCTCATTGGCCCAGAGCTCACAAAATAGGCTAAACTGACTGGCTAGTGAGGTCCAGGGATCCTCTAAACCCCACCACCCCAGCTGAGGTTACAAGTGGACATCTCCATACCTGTTGTTTTTATATGGGTTTTGGTGTCAAACCCAGATTCTTGTGCTTGCAAGATGAGTGCTGCATAGACAAAGCCAGCTCCTCACTCCCACCCCTCATTTAAAGTCTTGGGCTCAGGAACCTGTGATTGGGGCACACAGATATCCTTGTGGCCTTGATTGTTGCCTGTTGACTTGCTCTCCAGGAAGATGACTCAATGCCCAGCTCTTTGTTGTGGGAGACCTGAGGAGTCTCAAACCACCAGTGTTGAAAATAGTTGCTATCACATGGGAGACAGTGGTAAGGGGTAAAGTAAAGAAGGGGGGCAAGGGGCCGACCATAGAAACAATTTGCTTGATTTTTGAAAAACTATTTCTCTTTGAAATCCCTTTTATTTTTGCAAGAAAGGATCCCTTAGTATTTCTTTTAATTAGGATCAGTCAGTAGTACCTTGATCTTTGTATATTTAAATATGTTTGATTTTACATTTCCTTTCAAGTGGCAAGTTTAGCTGGTTATAAAACTTTAGGTTAGCTGTTAATTTTACTCAGTGTGTTAGAAGTATTACATATCTTATTGTTTTCTGCCATCTTGTTGCTGAGTCTTGTTGTTGTTCTTTTGTAAATATTAGGGTATCTTCATGCTGCTTAGAATATGCAATATGCTTTTTTGATCAAAGAATTTGGATCTGTGCTTGGTTCTGAAAATGTTCAGCCCTGTCTTTGATTCATAGCATCCTGCCATCTCTGCTCACATTCCTTACTCTGGAATTTCTACCAGATTTAGATCTAAATCTTACCATTTTTTTCTTGTTTCCTCACTCTTCATTTATGTTTTAATCTGAATTTTGGAAAACACCTCACTATTCTTTTCCAGTTCACCATTTTTTTTCTTGAATTATATGCAATCTTATTTTAGATGCACATTAAGCTGTGTTTATTTTAAAGTTTCTTTTAAACCTGAAATTGCTAGTTGTTTTTTGTTCACATTTCCTTGGTTTTGTTTCTACCTAGTTTTGTTTTATTGTCTTCTGTTCTTTTTCAGTGTAAATCACTGCCTCATCTGTCATTTTTTGAAAAAAAAAAAACATTCAAAGGCTTCATAGATTGCTTCTTTTTTTAAAAAAAATGTTTTAGCAAAGAATAAGGTTTCATTATGCAACTTTTCAAACAAAATTTGTTCTTGTTGTTTCTCCCTCTGCTCCTGCCTTATCCCCATCTAAGTATCATCTTTTATGTTTTTGTGTTACGTGTGTCCTTCTGCACACACACCCCCACCTCTGCCTTCTTAACACTCCTTGTACCTTTAGACTACTTAGACCCCGTAGCTCAGGGTCTGGTGATGACTCAGCAGTTAAGTGCACACTGGCTGCTCTTTCAGAGGACCTAAATTCAATCCCTAGTGTCCACATGGTAGCTCACAGCCATCTGTAGCTCTAGTTCTAGGAGACTGGGTCTCTTTCGGCCTCCCAAGGCATCAGGCATGTTTATGGTATGCAGACATATACACAGTCAGAACACCCATACACATAAAATCATAACAACAAAAATAATTATCTTTAAAAAAATTAACCTTAATTTTAGTAAGTTTATATCCTGTTGGGTAATTTTGTAGACTGCCCTAACTTTGCGTAGACCTCCCCCCCCCCCCCCGGGGTTATGATTTTGTTTTGTAGATTTATTTAGAGTGTCGGGAACTTTTTTTTTCCCCTCATGTCTGTCCTGCCCACTGCTCTGTTTCCCTTTCTCTGTCTTGCAGGATTACAGCTGCACTGGGCAGGTCACTCTAGATTGGAGTCTGGTACTTGAATCAGCCTGTTCTTGGGACAATATTGAGATTGATGCCTTGTTTTAATGTCCTTATCGGCTATGAATAAATTAGGGAAGACATATATCCATAGAGTGCTATGTGCCCCTCATCTCATTATTGAACTATACAGGGAACCTTGGCGATTAATATGCTATTTGGGCATCTGATTCCCAAGTGATGTATTGATACAGGCGATTGAAGAGTGGCCATTCCTGTTCACGTTTATATGCACTTAACTGGGGTTCGTCTTAATTGGAAAGAATTCATTGTTCCTTTCTTTAAAATCTGACCTCCCACAGAGTCAAAGCTTTTAGAACTTTACAAGAAGCTCTCAAATGTAACTATGAACACTGGCAAATCTGGGAAAACTATATTCTCACTAGCACAGACGTTGGGGAGTTTGCAGAAGCCATTAAAGCTTACCACCGGCTCCTGGACCTACGAGACAAATACAAAGATGTTCAGGTAGGAGGCTCACATTTTGTTATTTCAGCTCGTGTTTTACTGTTTTTCTATTCTGTGATATAAGCTGTTTTCTTTAATATTAAACACATGTAATGTATGTAAACCGCATTTCTGTTCTTCAGTCATCCATTCTGGTTACTTACAATTCCTGGCATTTCGATGTTAAATGTATTTGTGCAGTCACACACAGTATTGCTGCAGCTCATGTATGGAAGTCTGACTCATGGTTTACATACATACTGTCAGTGTGCAGAGACAAAATGGAAGCTCTTTGCATTACTATTCTTTGGGTAACTCTGCCTTCTGTGGTTTGTAGTAGTGGGAGCAAATTCTGTATACATTCATGTAGCACTTGCTGCATGCATCCAAAGTTTGAACAACATAGAGAGAATGGGTAGTGTTTTGTTTACAACACTGAAGATGTAGTCTTTCTGGTTAGATGAAGTTATTCTTGAAGAGAGTATTGGAGGTTTACAGCCACTATGTTTTCTGTATAGTAGCATGAAATAAGCAAGACCTTTTGGGCTGAATTACAATATAAGGCAGTGTACAAAGAGACAATACTCAGGAATTTATGGGTTCTGGAGTCAGAAGGCTAGAAAACAGCACTTTATTCTTTTGCTCTTGTAGCAGTCAACACATGCTATTTAAAAAGATGAAATTCAATTTATAAAAACCATACCAAACAAACACAGAAGTAACATCTAATATGTGACAATACCTTACAAATCTCATGGCATAAATACCCCAGTTCTAAACACAGCTTATCACAGTCCTATCTTAACTCCCCTGTGTTTGGCTCATGTACATGTTTTGAAAGCATACCTGTGTAATTGACCAAGGTGGCTTTAAGGCTTTGGTTCCATGTAATTTGCTGGAAAAATGTATAATTTTAAGTAGATCTGCACACACGGAGGAGAGATTCTAACTTTCAGTCGGTCTTTCTCCTCCTTTTTCCCCCACTGTCTTTCATTGTAAGTATTGTTCACTGTGGGAAGAAGGGTTGCATTTTAGAGTACAGACATTAGTTTAAGTGCAAGCTAGGCTGAGAACGTGGCTCAGTAGTGGAGCGCTGCCTAGTTCTGTCTCCTGCACACTTTCCCTTTTGGGGCAGGACACAGATGATAGGTCAGATCTCAGTATGTCACAGCCCACTCTTCTGTACTTGGATTTTGTATATTTCAACTGGTTTTAAGGTCTTTCTTGACAGAAACTTGTCTTTAAAACCTCAGGGAAAGTGTAAGTCACTTGAATTGGCATTATTTCCATGTTACACTTGCGATTAATTTTCTTGCACATGTGTAAGAAGACATGAGCCACGGCACTACTCATTTGGTGCTACTGCACGCTGAGGTCCTCTGTGCTTCCCTGTCCCTGTTAGTTTGAATAGGAGGTGTGTGTCTCCCGGAGGCCTATGTTTTCAACACTGTGTATAGCTGGCAATACTATCTTGAAGGAGGTGAAGACAGGCTGGTGGGAATGGGTTCTGAAGGCTAGGTCTTGAAAGGCTACATCAGCCCCTGTTCCAGTCTGCTCTCTCTACCTCGTGGTCAGTGCCATGTGAGGTGACTTGGCCACACATTTGTTCCTCCATGAGTGCTATGCCTTCCCACTGTCCTTGGATGAACTGCAGTCCTTTGCAATGTGAACCTGCATAGATCTTACTGCCTTAAGCTGTTTTCTTCCAAGGCAGCTGATACAGTCAGGGCACAAAGGGATCTTGTTGGGCTTGTTTATCTGTGAAGACAGTTTATTTTTTGAGGCAGGGTCTTTCGCTGAACCTGGAACTTATGGATGTGACTTAGACCAACTGGCTAATGCCCTTGGGATCCTCTTTCTTTCTGCCTATAGTGTCCTGGATTTGCAGGTGTGTGCTGTTGTGTCTGGATTTGCAGGCATGTGCTGTTGTGTCTGTATTTGCAGGCGTGTGCTTTTGTGTCTGGATTTGCAGGCGTATGCTGTTGTGTCTGGATTTGCAGGCGTGTGCTGTTGTGTCTGGAGATTGGACTCGTGTCCTCAAGCACTTATTTGGTGAGCTGTCTCCCCAGCCCCTCAGAAAACTGAGATAAAATTCACAGGATATTAGGTGGTAGCAGGGGTGGGAGGTGAAGGTTGGGGAGGGAGGACACAGTAGGAGATCTTGGTGTGGAGTTCTCTGGGGCTAAATTGGATAGACTTATGTGCCAGTGCATAAGGAAGTAAGGCACTCCTCTACTTCCTGTTAAGACTTACATGGACAGTCTCCAGTGGCATTCTGCTTGTCAGTCGCACTGGCCTCTTGGCCAAGCCATCTCCTTAATGCCCCGAAGTGACTGTGGTAAGTCAGTTTGATACCATTTTTCTGCTGTGTTTGCCTCACATTTGTCTTTCGTTCACTTTCTGGTGTGAATGGGTTGCCTTCTAAGTCAGTCCCTTAGCCCTCAGTAATCCAGAAACAGTCCTGATTGTTCTTTCATGCTTGACACCAAGGGGCTAGTTCTTTAAAGAGAATCTAAGTGGTTCAATCTAGAACCTTCTTCTGTAAGAGAGTAGGCACAAGACTTGTGTGGTCCATGGTGTGTAAGCACAAAAAGCGGGAGGAGGGTGTCTTTTTTTTTTTTTTGGCCATTTCCTGCATTCTAAGGAACACAGAGGACTAGCCAGATGAGACATGGTAAAGTGATAACTATATTTACCAAGAGCTTGCTGTGTGTTGGATCGTATTGTGGTACTTAGCATTCTGGTATTAGCTCATTTAATTCTCACCACAACTGTGAGGGGTAATTTGTGCTAACAGGATTTATCTGACTCTGGAATGTATATATATGTCTGTCTCCATTCCCGGTCACCTTCTGTATCCTAAAGGAACTGATGGCTCAAATAAAAAAGCCATCTAGAGATTACTTTGAAAAGGAATTTCTTTTTTAAAGAGTTATGAAGTCACCAAGGTAATGCTGATTTTCATTGACTTTGGTATATCAATTATGGTAAAGCTGAGAGACAAGTATTTCAGAAAAAGGCAAAAAGATGTGGAACAATTGTTTTGAAGGAAGCAGGATCTGCCTGGATGATTCCTGTCTCTTGCAAGTGTAGCAGCTGAGTGGGATTGGTGAATGTTTGAATTTCCTTTTCTAAGTGGGCACCAGCTCCGGAGCCTCCCTCTCCCTCAGGATGAAGCAAGTTGTTACGATGCTGCTGCCATGTTTGTCTGTGAGCGGATGAGCTAGAGGAAAAGGAGTCGTGCTGCTAGGTTCCAACAGAAACACTCTGAGAGTAATTATTTGATTCTAAAGATAAAACTCTGAGTTGTTTACTTGGCTAACAAATAAAAGCACAGTAATAAGTAAAAGTAACAGTAAAAGGACCCAAGAAACACATTTAAGGGATATATTTAAGCATTTTTCAGAAAAATAAAAAACCTTGGCATAACTTTCCCAGCACAAACTGCCTGCCGTGTTTCACCTCCCGTCCTGGGCTGCTGAGGACGGGTCCAGGGCTGGACACCTGCCAGGCAAGCGCTCCAGCACTGAGCCGCAGCTCCAGCCTTAGCTGTTGTCCTAACTGAACTTTTCACACTGGTTTTAGCAGTCATTTATCGCTCCTCACTCCTCTAGTGATAGGCACTCTTTTCTTTTTCTGTTTTCCTTTTGTTGGAGGTAGAGGTGGGGGCAGGGTCTCTCTACATACTCTGGCTGTCCTGGAACTTGCTGTGTAGACAGGGCCAGCTTTGAACTACCTACCTTTGCTTACTTAGTGCTGAGATTAGAGGCATGTGCCACTGCTCAGGTTCTTATAAAACTGTGTGGTTTCCATTTACAATTTTGTAATCCTATGTGTGTCTTAGCACATTGTTTTATGGGAACTTTTGTGAAAATTTGCTTGTTTACGAGATAAAATTATTAGAATTTATTTAAATTCATGGTCAGTTAACATTTTCTATTTTTATTTTTCCCTCATTATTCCATTATTCTCAAATCAGAGTGTTGATTCACACTTACTTTATCTAAGCATGAATATTTATTTTAATGCATATGAGTGTTTTGCCTACATGTGTGTGTACCACGTGCATGCAGTGCCCATGGAAGCCAGAAGAGGACATTGGATCCCCTGGGACTGGGGTTACAGACAGTTGTAAGCTGCCGAGTGGGTGCTGGGAATTGAAACTAGGATCTCTGGAAGAGCAACCAGTGCTCTTCACCACTGAGCTCTTTCCAGACCCAAAGCATGAATATTTAAATAACTTTGTAATTAGTTTCATTAGAAGTGGAGTGTTTTTTGCAGGAGTCACGGGTGACTTTGGATTCTTGAGACTGTCCTCCTGCAGTCCTGCTGTGTGCACCGAGATCTAGCATTGTTGTGTGAAATGTCCGTGAAGAATGTTGAGCAGCATCACGGGTTCTCATGGTGTCATGTTAGAGCTGTTAGCCTGATGTGCACATTGGACTTACTGAGGAGACAGTACTGAGAATGTCATTTCTAGGTAACCAGTGAGGTAGGTCAGCTGACCTTCATTAGCACTGTAGAGAACCCTCAGACATTCAGTTGTAGAAATAACATGGGAAGACCATGTGTCTGTTTGTTTCTTGGGGAAGCGCTGTAAGTGGCTCTCCAGAGAAATGTAGAATTCTGATGGCACTGGTTAGCTTCTGCGGTCATGGGCAGGATCACTTTCTAGTGGCTAAGCCATCCTTGGCACAGAGTCCTGGTTACTGTCAATCGGCTCTGGCGTGTTTTGCTTTGTAGTGTATTGTCTGTCGGCATGCATTACAGCAGTCGGTCAGTGTGCACCACAACAATTGGTAGGTGACCTGGAATGTTTTTATCTTGGGTAAAACTCAGTTTGACTCGATATATTTGGTAGCAGTTGTCTTTCAGAAAAATCTCTGATATTCTTTTGTTTGACACTATTGACCTCATTCTATTTTAACTTGCTTTGAAATTCTTTTTATCTTTTCCTTCCTGTGTACTGTACTAAAGTTCTAACCCTTGTTCTTTTTTTATAGGTATGGATTATGGTGATT